GAAACATTCCATACACTAGAGAAAAATACCTCCTTCCCAGGCATAATTTTTAGATCTCCAAGTTCTTAATACTGAGCTATAATTTTCAGAATGTAGATTTTTTTTTTTTTGCTCCAACTTTTCTCTGATAAAATGTCTATGCTATGCCTGAGCCACTGATCTATTTTATTCTATGTTTATAAATAAAATATATTAGAACATTAACAGAACTGTATGTTATTTCTTCTCTGATGAATGTAATCTCTCAATTCTTAGAAACTACATTTACTTTTTACCAGTAAAATTCTCATTATAATATTGTAATGCCTTAAAAAAAAAATATTGTAATGCCTTGAGCCTTGCACAAAAATCGATCCTCCAGAGATCAATGCTCAAATGGAAGTAATAAGAAACAAAATCTCCCCAGAAAAAAATAAAACATCACAGGAACTGACAAACTCAAACAACAAAACCACCGACATTTGCTGTTCTAGTCTCTCAATGCTTATGAACTCCTCAGAAGAATCTTTTTATTGACAATAAGTGGATGGAAGCAGGAACAACATTCACAAGAGCAAGTGCCAGAAACGAGTTTATTGTTAGTAATCTTAAACCTCACTGTCCCTTTGAATCATACTTAATCCTGATTTATCAGTATGTGGGGGGCTTGCTGTGGTGCAGTGGTAAAAAATCTGCCTGCTGATGTAGGAGATGCAAGAAATGCAGGTTCGATCCCTGGGTTGGGAAGATCCCCTGGAGAAGGAAATGGCAACCCGCTCCAGTATCCTTGCCTGGGAAATCCCATGGACAGAGGAGCCTGGTGGGCTGCAGTCCATGGGGTCTCAGAGTCAGACATGACTGGGCGACTGAGCACACACAGACACAGCATGTGGCTGTGTTTGACATTCAGTGGAATTCAGTTTAGGAAAGTGTGGCACCAGAATCTTTTTGTCTAGGAGTATGCCCTTCATGTCACATTTAGATGGATGAAAAATTATGCACTTTGCTCTGACACATTACCATTATTAGTATATACTCAAAAGTTTATTTAAGAGTAAGTTCAGTATCTTTTACCTCAAGTAACAAGACATACAACTTAAAGTGGCAGAAATACTGAGCAGTATCAAACAGGAGAATTCCAAATGAATTCTCTGCCTTCTTCATCATAGTTATGTTTCTCTTCATAATTACAAGACAGCAAAAGCAGTTCCCAGCATCATAGATAGACTCCAAGATGACAGTAAAGAGGAGAAAAGACCTTTTTGCCCTTGGTTCTCCTTTTATTAAAGGCAAACTTTTCCAATAGTTCATGAATAGATGGCCCCTCAGAACCCACTGGTGAGGATTGGGTCATATGCCCTTGGCAGCAAGGGAGGATGAGGAAAGAGGTTCTAGCCCTTTCCATCTTTATAAAAGTAGACTGGTTCTGTCAACAAGGAATTAGAGGTTGGATAGAAGAAGGCTTAAACGTGTCAAACGATGTAAAGTTAAATAACATATATATTGCCCTTTATAAACACAGTAAGTTTTTAATGCTGCTGCATTTGTTTTTATTTCATTGACCTCTAGAACCATTTCACACACATTAGTAAAGACTATGAAAACTTTAAAGAATCTATGAATAGAGTCTATGAATAGAGACGGAGAAGGCAATGGCACCCCACTCCAGTCCTCTTGCCTGGAAAATCCCATGGATAGAGGAGCCTGGTAGGCTGCAGTCCATGGGGTCGCTAAGAGTCAGACACGACTGAGCGACTTCACTTTCACTTTTCACTTTCACTCATTGGAGAAGGAAATGGCAACCCACTCCAGTGTTCTTGCCTGGAGAATCCCAGGGACGGGGGAGCCTGGTGGGCTGCCGTCTATGGGGTCACACAGAGTCGGACACGACTGAAGCGACTTAGCAGCAGCAGCATGAATAGAGACAGAAATTTTGAGAATTAATTTTTGTTTTTAAACAGCTTGCAGTACCATTGATTAAGGAATCGTCTCTCAGCTTTGCCGTTCACAGTCCTTGGCGCAGCTGGACTGAGTTACAGCCACATTCCTCCTCGCTGGTCTCCCACGTGACTCTGAGTGAGGGGCGCCAGGGAGACGGCGGAGGCGGGACGAGGACGAAGGCGCTTGCTCCCTTTCTGAGGCTGCCCCGTGCACTTTTGAAACACTTCATCCCTTGCAGGGGCAGATCCTTTGGACAGCAGCCGTTGTTTCCAGTTTGTCCAGCACTCACAGAACCAATCTGGGGCCCCTCTGCAGCGACACCCGCACTGGTTGGCGAGAACACTCTTCTCAAAGGTCTGGGGGCAGCTTCATGGGCAGCTCCTCTGAGCTCAGAAACAAGACCCCAGCCCAGCCAGGCAGTAAGCGTTCACACAGGACTATAGCGCCCCTCCTTTAAACTTCTAAATTTTAATCATCCAACCTCTTTACTGGGTTTCTCCAGTCCAAAAAGAGGCTGAGTCTTGAAGCTGCTACCTCTCCAATGTATCAGCTTAGTGTCCCCTTTTGTCTTTCCAGTTCTTCAGGATCTAGCATTAATTCTTTATCTTAATTCTAACAGGCTAAATTTATTTCTTTTTTAGGGGAGATTACAGATTTTAAAAATTTAACAAAAGGAACTTCCACTATTTCATCCTTTTTTGCATCCTTATAATCATGTTCATTTCCTCTCTTTCTTCGATGTTCAGATACCATATTTGTCCCATAATCTTAAAGGGTTAGATGACTTTGTTTGCAACACTTCATGCCTACCACTATAATATTTAAAACAATACAAACAAAATAATCNTTTTAAAAATTTAACAAAAGGAACTTCCACTATTTCATCCTTTTTTGCATCCTTATAATCATGTTCATTTCCTCTCTTTCTTCGATGTTCAGATACCATATTTGTCCCATAATCTTAAAGGGTTAGATGACTTTGTTTGCAACACTTCATGCCTACCACTATAATATTTAAAACAATACAAACAAAATAATCCATTTTTTTAGATAGCAGACATATTTAATATTTCTTCTTCAACCATTTCCTTTTATTTTGTTAAATTCACTGTTCACTCTATATTGCAAGTTTTCTCTAGGCTCCAAGTTCATGGCTTTTAAATTAGTACATGCCTAAGAGAACTATGGTTAGCAAAAGAGAGAAGGCAGCATCAGGGGTGGATAAAAGAGAGTGATGGTGATTTTTCTGAAAATAGAGGAACAGTAGGATATCAGTGGTAACAAGGAAAGGACTAGAGGTGGCAGAAACAGTCAGCTACCAGTGGAGATTAAATATTCCCTGGTTATCTCTAGAAGTAAATAGAAAAGAGGGCTCTAAGCTTTGGCCTTGTGCTTTATGACAGGTGTCATGATGACCCTTCACAAATGTCCAGACTGACTAGACTGTTTAACTTGGGACAACCTGGAATTTATTTCAAGAGGCTGAGTACTCATGAAGGCTTAAAGGCTGCATTTAAAGACTGACTGAACGAATTCAAACCCAAAGGGGAAACATCTTTCATATTCACTGTAAAAGCTCTTAAAAATTCTATTTAAAGCTAAAAAGCAGAAGAAGCAAGATTACAGTTACACAAATAGTGTGAAATATCTGGGGCAAGAACTGAGATGAAGTAGGGGCGAAGAGAAGGGTTTTAAGGTTTGTTGCCTAAGGGGTATAATTATACTTGCAATATATTTCCCAAGAACCTTTACATTTTCAACTGCTGTGGGTTCAAAAACCAGCATAGATACAGTCTTAAAAGTGTGTGATTCAGAAGAAATATGAGATATATCAATGATTACTTAGAGTTCCCAACTGTCTTATTTTTTATAGCTCTCTATAGCCATGTAGCTGATAGTAAACTATTTCATAAATGTCAGCTACTTCCCACAAGTTTTAAATTGCTTCTTTCTACCTGTGAAACATTAAGGAAAATCACTTTAACTTTTTTCTCGAAGTTAACCCTTATTTTCAGCAATCAGAGAAAATTTGATTTTTATAAAACTTCTCTCAAAGAATGTTTGACTTGAGTGTAGTAACCTGCTTCCTAAATTGAAGCTCTGTAGAGCTTTGTAGGTAAAATAATACAGCTTTTGTTTTAAATTTGTTCTGACTTTAGAGTCAATAAAAGGATCACCAAAGTGTCCAAGGATGTACTGCTGCTGCTAAGTCGCTTCAGTCATGTGCGACTCTGCGACCCCAGAGACGGCAGCCCACTAGGCTCCACCGTCCCTGAGATTCTCCAGGCAAGAACACTGGAGTGGGCTGCCACTTCCTTCTCCAATGCATGAAAGTGAAAAGTGAGAGTGAAGTCACTCAGTTGTGTCTGACTCTTCGAAACCCCATGGACTGCAGCCCACCAGGCTCCTCCATCCATGGGATTTTCCAAGAAAGAGTACTCAAGGATGTACTAGACACCACTAAATATATGGGGAGATTTTCACCAATTGAGTCTGTTTTATCTAGACAAATATTCCCCTACTAATTCAATACAATTGAACTCAAAATTACATTTTGTGTGTGTGTAAATATGGGTGCATGTTTCCATCAACTTATAAAGCTTTATTCCAGTTTCAAGTGTTAACATACTTCTCCCTTTCAAAAAATTTTCAGAATTTATTCTCCTAATTTACTCATTTCTTTTCTTGAAAGAAAAATCAACAATCTCTATTCTCTAAGGTCTATATTTATCTCTTTGAACCTTTTCCCACTTCCTTACGAAACAACAAAAACAATAAAGAGAAAAATTCAAGAAATGCAGAGAGAAAAGAACAACCATAGGCACCAAAGTCTGATCTTACTCATAAAAACAGACTGGGAATGAGTCTTACAAACTTACAGCACTACATATGAGGACTGCATCTTTCAGAGCGTGAGTTATCAACAGAAAATAGAAATTTGTTCAACATTTTCTAGTAAATATTTCATACAGGTTTTCTGTGAATTTTATGGTTTGTCACTGAAATATACTTCTTAAAGATGACTCTGTAAAAGGAAGACATTACCAAGAGTTACACTATTGCTGTCACTTCATACTTACAGCAACTGCCTCCAAGATCTGTTTGACAGCATCTGCAGCATCTCGTTCACTATAATATCCCTTTTCCACAATCCTGAAAAAAAATCATGAAATGCTTCTCAGACACATGCATTCAATTGAGCAGATGTTAAAAGAAGTTAAATTAAAGTTAAGATTTATCTAAACAATTGCAGCAGGCTACCATAACATGAGGGGAAAGATTTCCATATGGTGCCAATCTAGAAGTCTTTAGGTTTATTTAGGAAAATGGAACACATTTATTTTGCCTAGGCTTGAAGTATCCATCCTGTTGGGGACAAAAAATTCTTTTCAAATTCTGTGTTGCAAGTAATTTTAAACCTATAACAAGTAGACAATATATCATGAACCATCTCATTTAATTGTCATACTGCTTCAGCAATTATTAATTCATGGTCAATGTTGCTTGATCTATCCAATTACTTTCCCTCCTCCTCTATTATTTTAAAGCAAATATCAGACATCATATAATTTCATTCATAAATATTTAAGGAGGTATCTCTAAAAATAAAGGATTTTTAAAAATCATAACTACAATGCCATTATCATATCTATAAATGACAATTCCTTAATATTGTTGGATATGCAGTTTCAACTTTCTAATTGTTTTCAAAATCAGTTTGTTTGAATCAGTATCAAAATAAAGTCCATGAACTGATTGGCTGATATGTCTCTTATTCTCTTTTTATCTGCAGCTCCTCTTTTACACAGCCTCACACTCTCTCATCTGCTTTTCTTTTCCAAATAAATGACTCGCTCCTTTTGCATAGATTATGGACAGACATTTTCCTTTGAAATTAAAGTCTTTTTTTTTTAAAGAATTTTCCTGAATTAGAATGTTTCATTTTCTTCCATTGCTTTGGATTTCTTCTTTGGGGTATGCAATTACACACATATAATAGTTTTCTCCAGAAAGAAAGAAGAGATGGAGCCAAAGCAAAAACAACACCCAGTTGTGGATGTGACTGGTGATGGAAGCAAGGTCCAACGCCGTAAAGAGCAATATTGAAACCTGGAATGTTAGCTCCATGAATCGAGGCAAATTGGAAGTGGTCAAATAGGAGATGGCAAGAGTGAAGATCAACATTTTAGGAATCAGTGAACTAAAATGGACTGGAATGGGTGAGTTTAACTCAGTTCAGTTTAGTTGCTCAGTCGTGTCCAACTCTCTGCGACCCCAGAACTGCAGCACACCAGGCCTCCCTGTCCATCACCAACTCCAGAAGTTTACCCAAACTCATGTCCATCGAGTCGGTGATGCCATCCAACCACCTCATCCTCTGTCGTCCCCTTCTCCTCATGCCCTCAGTCTTTCCCAGGGTCAGGGTCTTTACAAATGAGTCAGCTCTTCTTATCAGGTGGCCAAAATATTGGAGTCTCAGCTTCAACGTCAGTCCTTCCAATGAACCACCCAGGACTGATCTCCTTTAGGATGGACTGGTTGGATCTCCTTGCAGTCCAAGGGACTCTCAAGAATCTTCAACACCACAGTCCAAAAGCATCAATTCTTTGGCACTCAGTTTTCTTTATAGTCCAACTCTCACATCCATACACGACTACTGGAAAAACTATAGCCTTGACGAGATGGACCTTTGTTGGCAAAGTAATGTCTCTGCTTTTTAACATGCAGATGACCATTATATCTACTACTGTGGGCCAGAATCCCTTAGAAGAAATGGAATAGCCATCATAATCAACAAAAGAGTCTGAAATGCAGTACTTGGATGCAATCTCAAAAACCACAGAATGATCTCTGTTCGTTTCCAAGGAAAATGTTTATAACATAAGACACCAGTATTAATAATGTCTGAGACAGAGGGACCTCAAGCAGGGAGCAGATACAAAGGAAGACAAGATTTATCTTCATTTAGTTGCATCATTTCCCAATTCCTTCATTTCCCTACTGCAGTGAACACCAGGAGGCCAAATGATGCCTCCCCCACCTTCATCCCAGACTGCAGACAGACCCCCAACTCTTCTCCTTACTTGCAGTATATCCTTGGGTGAGTTGTTTCCCTTCTTTGAGGCTTGGTTTCCTCATCTTTAAAAATGTAAATAACAATAGTTTCTTTACATAACAATTGTTTCCAGGACTAAATGAATGTATGTACTTTTGACAGCCTGATCTAAGTGATGCTCAAAAAGACATCTGTTCTTCCCTTTACCTAAAGAAGCAGCATGGAAATAAATCATAACCTGGACCAAGGTACAGGAAAAATATTGGGCTGGGGCCTCTTGGGCTCTCTTGAAGGGTGAGGCAGAGATGCTACAGACTGGAAGGAGGAAATGACATTCCAGGCAGAGAGTATGCCTGGGGATAAGTCACCCTGTATTCCAGGTTCAAAGGATATGAATTTGAGCAAACTCCAGGAGATAGTGAAGAACAAGGAAGCCTTGTGTGCTGCAGTCCATAGGCCTGCAAAGAGTTGGACACGACTTAGCTACTAAACAANAGATCAGTCCTGGGTGTTCATTGGAAGGACTGATGCTGAAGCTGAAACTCCAGTACTCTGGCCACCTCATGGGAAGAGTTGACTCATTGGAAAAGACCCTGATGCTGAGAAGTATTGGGGGCAGGAGGAGAAGGGGGCGACAGAGGATGAGATGGCTGGATGGCATCACCGACTCAATGGGGATGAGTTTGAGTAAACTCCGGGAGTTGGTGTTGGACAGGGAGGCCTGGCGTGCTGTGATTCATAGGGTCGCAAAGAGTTGGACACGACTGTGCGACTGAACTGAACTGAAGAGTTTTTCTATTTTATGGGCTCAAATAAACAAAATAAGGAATGAAAGAGGAGAAATAACAGCAAATACCACAGAGATACAAAAAAAAAAAAGAATACCATGAACAGTTATATGCTTACAACTTGGACAACCTAGAAGAAATGGAAAATTTTCTAGAAACAAACCGTCAAAACTAAATCAGAAACAAACCCATCAAGACTAAATCAGAACGAAATAGGCAATCTTAACAGATGACTCAGTAGTATTAAAATTGAATTTGTAATTTAAAAAAAACTCCCAGCAAACTTAAGTCCATGGGGGAGATGGCTTCATAGGGTAATTTTAGCAAACACATAAAAGAGAATTAATATCTATCCATCTCAAACTATTCCAAAAAATGTAAGAGGAGGGAAAACTCCAAAATATATTCTAAGAAGCTACCATAACCCTGATACCAAAACCAGACAAAGATAACACAGAAAAAGAAAATTATAGGCCAATATCTGATTAATGTAGATGGAAAAATTGTCAGCAAAATATTAGTAAACTTAACTCAACAATATATTGAAAGAATCATACACAATGATCAAGCAGGATTTATTCCAAGATGCAAGGATGCTTAAATATTTGCAAATCAATGAATGTGCTGCACCACATTAACAAAAGGAAGGATAAAAATCACATGATCATCTCAATAGATGCAGCAAAAGCATCTGACAAAATTCAACAATCATTCATGATAAAAAATCTCATCAAACTGTGTAGAAAGGGAACACATCTCAAAATAACAAAGGCCATTTAAGACAAATCCACAGCTGTACTACAAAATCCAACATTACATTCAACAGTGAAAAGTGAAATGCCTTTCCTCTAAAATTAGGAACAAGACAAGGATGTCCATTCTCTCCATTTTTACTTAACACAGTATTAGAAATCCTAGCCACAGAAATCTGACCAAAAAGTAAATAAATAAATAAAAAGCATCCAAATTGGGAGGGAAGAGGTAAAATGGAACTTCTTGCAGATGACATGACACTCTATATAGGAAATCCTAAAGCCTTCACAAAAAACTATATGAATAAGTGAATTCAAGTAAGTTGCAAGATATAAGATTAATATACAGAAATCTATTTGTTTTTTAATACACTAATAATGATCAGAAAGAGAAAGCAAGAAAATAATCCTGTTTAAAACTATGTCTAAAAAATAAAATACCTAGGAAGAAACTTAACCAAGGAAGTGAAAGAACTATACTTTGAAAACTAAAAAACACTGATGAAAGAAACTGAAGATACTACAAAGGAAGGAAACTGAAGATACTATAAAGAAATGAAGAGATAGCCCATGTTCTGGGATTAGAAGAATAAATATTGTTAAATTCACAAACTACCTATATCAATTTACAGATTTAATGCAATCCCTATCAAACTACTCATGACATTTTCTACAGAATTAGGACAAATTATCCTAAAATTTCCATGGACTCATAAAAAACCCCAAATATACAAAACAATCTTGGGAAAAAAGAACAAAGCTGGAGGTATCATGCATCTTGACTTCAGACTATACTACAAAGCTACAGTAATCAAAACAGCATGGAGGTGGCACAAAAGCAGATACATAATCAATGAACAGAATAGAGACTGCAGAAATAAAGCTACATACTTACGGTCAATTAATACATGACAAAAGAGTCAAGAATAGAGTTGAGAAAGGAGAGTCTCTTTAGTAAATGCTGCTGGGAAAACTGGACAGCTACTTGTAAAAGAATGAGATTTGAACATTTCTTCACACCATAAAGAATTAAAAACCTGAAAATGAATTAAAGATCTAAATATAAGACCTGAAACCATAAAACTTCTAGGAGAAAATCTAGACAGGAAACTCTTTGACATAAATAATAGCAATATTTTTTCAGATCTGTCTCCTAAGCAAAAGAAGTCAAAGCAAAAATAAACAAGTGGGACCTAATTAAACTTAAAAGCTTTTGCATAGCAAAGAAAACCACTGACAAAATGAAATGCAAGCTACTGAATGGGAGAAACTATTTATAAATGATATGACCAATGAGGAATTAATATCCAACATACACGGGCCTCCCAGATGGTGCTAGTGGTAAAGAATCTGCCTGCCAATGTAGGAGATGCAAGAGACTTAGGTTTTATCCCTGGTTTAGGAAGATCCCCTGGAGAAGGGAATGGCAACCCACTCCAGTACTCTTGCCTGGGAAATCCCATAGACAGAGGAGCCTGGTGGGCTACAGTCCACGGGGTCACAAAGAGTCGGACACGACTGACAGACTGAGCACACACGCACCCAGTGACACGTATG